TGGGTTTCTGTCAGGTTTGCGGGATCTCCTTTCCCAGTGGGAGTGGGGTGCGCTGGCGCAAGGGTCCCAGGGGTGGGATAGTCAGCTGCATTTGGTGTGGTCCCCTCCTGTCACTGAGGCAGGATCGTCGGCGGGTGGGGGAGGGGTGGGGATAAGTTCGGATCCCAGGGCGGCGGTTGGTGGTGAGTTGGTGGCTTCCTCAGCGGAGCCGGCGCCCCCAGTGCCCAGCGTGGTCATGGGGGTGGGGAAGCATCCAGTTTTTTTTTAGAGGGCATGGCGGGTGTCGCTGGTGTGGCGAAAGGGGCGGCGTATATGTGCTAGTCGGGCCTGTTGGGCTTGCATCTGAAGCCCGGAATTCAGGAAAAGATCTGGGAAGGGGAATTTGTCAAGATATTTTCCCTGTTGTCCATCGAGGTCGCCCCTCCTCTGGGGGACAAGGATGGGAAGGATTCGCATAGGGATAAGGAGAATTTTCACTATAGGGAGATTTCTAAGACTTTCAGGAACTGGGCTCCTGCATTCTCCGCCTTGGTGGGCTTGATTGGGGAAAAGGCTCCCCAGCATTGCTCAGCGCTGTTTTGCTATCAGGAAACTGTTTGGGTTGGTGGCGCCGTGACGAACAATTTCACCAAAGGCTGGCAGTCTGCCCCTCTATCTCGTGGGGTCAGCTGGACATTGGCCTGTGACTCTCCATCATGTCTTGCCCTGCAGCGCAGAGAGGGGGGATGTCTTCCATTCTTGGGGGGGTAGCGGGGGTGGCCTGGCATCAACAACCAGGCGGTTGTTGGAAGTTCAATGACAGTCAATGCAAGTGAGGTGCGTCATCATATTTCAGCATGAATGCTTCCATTGTGGTGGTGACCACTCAGCCTCACGCTGTTTTAAACAGTGTAAGTCAGGGGACTAAGGGGACCTGAGGGCTAAACAAGAAGCGCCCCTGGCTTGACCGTTATAGGAACCGTCAGGCTACGGGATTACTTCTGGAGGGGTTTGTACATGGGTTCTGGATTCCATTCTCAGAGGCGGTTCGGAACTTGGAATCAGTGCCTGATTTTCCTTGAGTGGTCCTGGAAAAGCTCCAGAAGGGGGTATCGCTGGGGCGGGTGGCGGGGCCATTTGATGTCCCTCTGCTGACCAATTTGCGCGTGTCCCCCTTGGGCGTGGTGCCCAAGAAGGAGGCAGGGAAATCTAGCCTAATTCATCATTTGTCTTACCCTCACGCGTTAGGGTTCAGTGAATGATGACATCTCTGCAGAGCTGTGTCAGGTGTCTTACGCTTCATTCGATGCTTCTATTCGCCTGGTCAGGGCGGCGGGCCCTGGGGCGCTGCTGGCAAGTGCGGACGTTGAATCAGAGTGTCGCTTATTGCCTGTGCACTCGGACTGCCATCACCTCCTCGGTTGTGTTTTCAAGGGTAGGGATTACGTGGATATGTGCCACATGATGGGTTGTTCCATATCCTGTTTTTATTTTGAATGCTTTGGCACTTTCGGGGGATCGCTGCTGCTCTATCTTGACGAATTTTGTGTGCAGGGTCGGCAAAGTCCTGGCTTGTCAAATCTTGCTTGACACAGTGGACAGGGTTTTTGCCTGCTTTGGGGTTCACCTGGCTCATGATAAGACATTGGGGCCAATGTCGGGCCTTAGCTTCTTGGGCATCGAGATTGATCTGGTGGACCTGGAGTGCCATTTGCCTCAGGATAAGGTGGAAGGGCTGCGCTCGGAGGTGGCGGTGGCCAGGGCTTGGGAAAGAGACAGCTGTGCCAGCTGCAGTCTCTTTTGGAGGAGTTGAATATCGCCTGTTGTGTCATGCCCATGAAGCGGGTGTTCAGCAGGCGCCTGGCAGCAGTGACCGCTGGGGTGGCGAGGCCTAGACATTTTAATTGGCTCATGCGGCAGTTGCGGGATGACCTGGCGATCGGGGATTACTTCCTGGCTGCGTTTATTGGGAGGTCTTATTGGCAAGTGCCCAAGGTGTCCAGTTCGGATCCTCACCTCTATACGGGCGCTATGGGTTCTCTCGGCTTTGGGGATGCGCTGATACCTGCTCGGAGGAATGGCAGGGGTACGGCAAGCTGATTGACATGGTTTGTGGATTGGTGTCTAGTTCCACTTGGGCCAGGTATTCGAGGGTATAGGGGGGAAAAGCACATGCTCAAGTTGGAAGTAGAGGTCTTTCAGTACTCACCCACTCAATTGCAGGGTCTGTTGAGGCTCTTGGAAAGTTGTGTTACGGCGGGCATGTCGCCTTCTGCGTTGTTCTCGTGCTTATCTGGGCTGAGCTTTCTGTTTAAATCTCATGGCTGGAGGGTTGAGACCAAGCAGTTTCTGGTGCGGCAGGCGGTTAAGGTTCTGCACAGGGGTTGGATTTCTGTGGATTCTAGGAGGCCGGTATCGGGTGCCCTCCTGGCACAGTTATGCCAGGTGCTCCCGCTGGTGTGTTTTTTTGACTTTTTGTTCGCATTCTTTGGGGCCATGGGGATGGGGGAGTTGGTGTGTCCGAGCGGGTCGACCGTTAGGGGATCCTATTCTCTGATGTTCGGGAGGGGCAGGACAAGGTTTCCTTACAGAAGGGTAAGTGGGGGGAAGGGTAAGTGGGTTCAGCTGGCCGCAGTCCGTGGGTTGGTCACCTGCCCTTGCCTTTTTGGTGTTTTTTGCGGGGTTCGTCCCTCACTCTCTAGCCTGCTACTGGTACTTGAAGATGGGAACTTCCTCTGCCATTTTCAATTTGTCAGGGTTTGTCGTTTTGCCTGTGTTGGGCTTGGAGTGTGCAGAGTTTGGTGGGCACTCTTTCCGAATTGGCACAGCGACAGAGGATTCTCGCCTGGGTATGCCAAAGCAAGAAGTGCAGAGGATAGGGAATACGTGGGAATCCAGGAGGTTGGGTTCCTATGTGCGTGCTGACGGTCTGCTGAGCTAAATGTTTTCCTCCTCCGGCTCATTCCCCTCAGGTTCTGGTTGATCGGGCACTCCTACATCCACTGGACATGGCAGCGAGCAGCAGTCTGGTCGGGGGGGAGCTTCTCGGTTTACGCCTTTGTCTGCGGAGGTTCAGTAGTTTGGCGCCAGGGGCGTGAGCTGGGTTCGGCTCCTCCCTGAATTGGTCAGGCTCTCTCGTCTGCTAGAGGCGCCATCTGTGTTGGTAATCCATCTGGGGGGCATCGACCTGGGGACCGCGCCGATCGGGGTTTCGTCGACATGGTCGGAAGGGACTTGTCCCAATTATTAATCTTGTTCCCTGACGCCTGTATAATCTGGTCGGAAGTAGTGGCTAGGAACTTTTGTGGGCAGGCTCACAGCCAAAGTGCCCTGGAGCAGGAGGCAGCAACAGGAGGCAGCAACTTTATTCCGACCAGATGGGGTGCATTTGGCTGAGGTCGGGCATGCCCTCTTTAATTTGGCGATCGAGGAAGTGGTTGAACAGGCCTTGGGTTGTTTGGGTGGGGCTCCCTGCTGATTTTAGGTGTAAAACAGCGGGGTTTGTGGCGGGGGGCATGTCCTTGCCAGATAGGGTGGGAGATGGTTTGCAGGTAGATGAGTAAGGGGATAATGCCGGGTCTCATCCTCCCCCGTCTCTTATGGTGAACCAATAGGCGTCCAAGGTTGGACGTGTCCCCACCGAGCTAAAAGCCGGCTGGTGGGGGGCATTATGGTCGGGTCCCTACCGAGCTAAAAGAGGGCTGGTGGGGATCCCAAAAGGGAAGAGGAATTTATTATGCCGAGGGGGGAGGTAAGAGCCTTTGGGAAGGGATGTGTTAGATTGTCAAGGTTGTTTGGTTACATTACTGTATGACATTATGCAACATTATTTATATGAGAATTTATGATCATGTAACTATGTACGGTTTTATACGTTTAGATGCATTATACAGTATTTGGTTGTTTTAATAAATGCTGTGGCCTGTTATATCCAGGTTTTTGTGTCTGTCTGTCTGTTATTGGGGGATTCATGGTAGGTTTGAAGGGGTTATCTCATCCAATGCCCACTTCGTACATACAAGGAACTGGGATTGGCAATGCTGTAGGAGACATGGTGCGAGTGTGGAGAGATAGGAATAATGATAAGCGACCTGGGAAAGATGGCGAGTGAGCTGGTGGATGAAGAATTGATTAGTGAAAAGCAGAACAAATTACATAAACTGAAGGTGGGGGGGGGTGAGTCACATGGTGTTATTAACTCTTTACATAGTATGGAAATTCAGAGTATAGATACAAAGCAATTAATTTCTTATCTCATTACCAGCAGATTTTTAAAAAGTCACAGAGTCCATTCCAACAGCAATCTATGTAGTGTCTGATTTTGTCTTCCTTTTTGCTGCAACATAAAAAATACAGTGTCATAGAGACTTAAACGCAGGAAGGAGGGGGAGAGAGAAACAAAATCACTTGTGCGAGGGTAACAAACACAGGAATATATTAGGCTAATAACAGGCAGGCTGCTAATAAAGAATGCCAAAGTAAAAAGCAATAACGTTTTGATAAACGAATTTAGAGTGTGACCATGATCTATACAGCTAAATTCCTAAATTAAACTAACCTTGTTTTGGTGACTATAGTGTCACTTTAGGGGTCCTTTCTTTTTATACTTTAATCAGTTACAGTAATAGCCCTCAACCCCTACCCTGCTTCATTAGCTCACCTGTCAGGGGGAATTAGAATCCCATAGAGAGAAATGGCCCAGCATTGACACTATGAAGCACTGAGATGTTTCCTTCACTAACTTTCCTCAGATTCACTAACATCTCACCTGTCAGGGGGAATTACTGAGACATCTGGTGTTTGATCTTTCATTTCCTCATCCCCAGATGGTTCACCAATCATCTTGTATGCTGCTTCTTCAACCATCTCAATACAGCTGTTTGCAAGAAGATTAGAGCAGATTATAATTCCTTTATAATTATATATATATATATATATCTAGATTCACTCTATAGAATCCCATAGAGAGAAATGGCTGAGCATTGACACTATGAAGCACTGAGATGTTTCCTTCACTAACTTTCCTCAGATTCACTAACATCTCACCTGTCAGGGGGAATTACTGAGACATCGGGTGTTTGATCTTTCATTTCCTCATCCCCAGATGGTTCACCAATCATCTTGTATGCTGCTTCTTCAACCATCTCAATACAGCTGTTTGCAAGAAGATTAGAGCAGATTATAATTCCTTTATAATTATATATATATATCTAGATTCACTCTATAGAATCCCATAGAGAGAAATGGCTGAGCATTGACACTATGAAGCACTGAGATGTTTCCTTCACTAACTTTCCTCAGATTCACTAACATCTCACCTGTCAGGGGGAATTACTGAGACATCTGGTGTTTGATCTTTCATTTCTTCCTCCCCCAGACGAATTTTATCAATCACCTCTTTCATTGCTTCGTTTAGCATCTGAATCCAACTGTTTGAAACAGATGATAAATATCTGTGAGATCAAATATTTCTATATATTCACTATCTGCTGCCTGGTCAATGTAGGATTATGAACTATAGATATTATATACATTTTTGATATATATGATATTAGATATAAACCAAGTGACAGCAATGGAGGCTTTAAACAATTATTAAATTATCTAAAGTGATTGCCACGAACAGTTCGCCATGGACTCATCATTGAGTAAACTTTGACCCTGTACCTCACAGTCAGCAGACACATTCCAGCCAATCAGCAGCAGACCCTCCCTCCCAGACCCTCCCACCTCCTGGACAGCATCCATTTTACATTCATTGTGAAGCTGCATTCTTAGTGAGCTGTCCAGGAGGTGGGAGGGTCTGGGAGGGAGGGTCTGCTGCTGATTGGGTGGAATGTGTCTGATGACTGTGAGGTACAAGGTCAAAGTTTACTCAATGATGAGTCCGTGACGAACCGTTCGTGGCGAACCGTTCGGGACATCACTACCTGTCATTCTTACTTTTTTTTCTCGGAGGTCGAGGTTGTGGTGAATTTGTACAGCTGGGGTGACTCCGACGTATCCATGACAAAGAATGATTCCTGATCTGTAGGAATAAACACAGGATTCCAGGAGAAGAATTAAATTAGCGGATTGACCCGTCAAATAGAAACACTGAGCATCAAAGTCTCCTATGTCATGTGGATTGTGAGTGCTGATAGTGACGGTCTCTGTATGCATTCTGTTTGTTATCATTTTAATGTCTTTAATGTTTCTATATGTATTATTATTATTTTATTTTATTTTTTTACAGATTTCAGTTATTTGTTGGTTTGTTTTTAAATGAATCATATAGTACTGTATTTATATGTTTTAGATGTTCATTAAAGATTTCAGGTCCTGTTATTCCCAAGCATCTATTAATGTAAATATAGATTTATATCATCAAATACAGAAAGCTTTACAATCACAGTCATTGTATCATCCCATTTATTACTTCTATTTTATTATTATTAGCGTTTATATTTCATCAACTTTTTTATCAGTGCTTTACAATATTATAATAGGGGGAAATTTAACAATAAATTATAAAATTACATAATTTTACAGGAACACTAGGTTGATGAGGACCCTGGTCAAACGCGCTATTCACAGATTTTACCCCATTCCAGGAGAGAGTGGCGGGTTACCTGTTGCCGACTAACAGTGCGGACTAACAGATTGTTCAGCTTGATGACAGGACTGAACACTTTCTTTGTCTTGGTGTTGGGATCCCATTCTTCCTTCCATTTAAGAACCAATTTATTTCTCTTTTTCCGCAGCAGGACGAGCAGATCCTCTAAAAGTAGAGCTTGTACCTCTGTAATAAACAATGAGTTCTGAGTTAAAACAATGATAGCAGGAAGCCAAGATAAACACCAAATAAATGTAGGCTCCCCTATGTTAAAAAATTAATCCAGACATGGACCCCCTGCTCACTGTGCCTAGTGGGGTATCAGCTACACCTCGCTGACAAAAAAAAACGTCTAATATGCAAATGGCATTGGTTCTCTCTGTAATGGCACAAGTAAGCAAAAACATGTTTTAACCCTGAGCAGGAACTAACCAAAACGCAAGCTGGGTTTCTATCAGCTTTTTTCCGTTCACAGAGTTCTCATATTCTCTATATTTGTTGCAATACATATAAGTGGTTATTTACAAAACCCTGAATTGTAGTGAATTGAAACAAAATATTTTCCCTAGTTTTCCTGACTGGATTCTGTAAACATGCGCTATTACTGTCTATAATCAGTGAGAAGCCATTTCCTATAGAATTTCTCCCATATGGTGTTAATGTTGCACAAGAAGATTTGTCTCAATCTTTGTACATACCAATTGTCTTATGGTTTACTCTCTTCCATGTCAGAAGCCCTGCATGGATCAAACGTTTTCTAGTGAGGTCCAAGTCCTGTGGATATGAGAAGAAATTGACTGTGTTACTGATTTACTCATCTGATAAAGATATAATAAAGATATATATATATATATATTTGTGTTAGGTGCTTAAGATAGTACAGTGTGAAATACCATGAATAAGCGTAGGATGATAAAAGGAGCAAGTCGGTTGTGGTGTGCCGAAACCGACGATGAGGTAGGCCTGAGAAAGAAGAGGGCAAAAATTAAGTAATCCAATTTATTAACAGACAACCAATACATATACATTTATCAACCAGACATGTTTATGAAAGCATCTCTTAACTCTTGTACTGGGTTCGGTATGTACCGTGAGTAAGCGGATGACTTCCAGCGCCCCAGTGTTTTGATAACATGAGTTGGGACGTTGAAACTGGAGGCTGTGGACGCGGCTCCTATACGAAAGGAGTGTCCTGAGTAATTGTTTGCGTTGAGGCCCAGTTGTGTGAGCAAGGACCTGACGTAGGTCATGAAGGTTGTAGTGGTGAGTACTGCACCTTGTAGTTGTAATAACGGTTGCGAGGGCAGTAAGTGATGGTGCTGTATGTAGGCATCAAGAACTTTTACGGGACACCATCTGTTGTGCGTGGGGATAGTACGGAATGTTTACAGGTATGTGCTGGCTGGTTTTGGAGTGAGGTAAAGACAGGATGTAATGATCCATATGTTTTGTCAAGTGGGAATAGAGGAGGAATGGAGTGGTTTGGGTCGTGGAGGTCGTAGTGAATTCTCTGGGTCGTAGAAATCCATAGAAAGCGATGTATATTGCTGTTTTGATGATAGAATTCGTATTAGTGTCAAACGGTTTCAGGTCGAGTAGGTTAGATAAAGCTTTGAAGATATGGTTATCTATGGGTAGCCTCTGGGCCAAATGTGTGGGTTCTGATTTTTGAATACCTCTGAGTATGGTCTTAATTTGGTGAGAGGCCATGAAACTGTTGTTATTTGGGTGTAAGATGAGCATGTGGTGTTGAATGCCAGTGAGATAGAGTTTGATGGTGTTATATGACAATTTGAGTTTAAGGTGGCAAAAGGAAGCAAACCCCAAAAAAGATGTCATAACAAACGGTTGTATGATGTTATGTTCCAGAAGGAATCGTTTGAATAGTGTGAAAGCCCTGTTGTATGTTTTGTTTGTATTGTGTGAAAGTGCCAACTGAGACAATGTCCTGCTATGCTGCATGATGACGTCTAGTCCAGTATGAGTTGTTGAAATGTTGGAGTGATGGTGGCTGTGGGTGCTGCTGACGGGAGTGCTTGATGAAACTCCTGAAATTTAAAGCGAGACAAACTGTCAGCAGCTGTGTTGTATACACCTGGCACATGGAAACAACATAGGAAGAAATTATGACAAGCTGCCAACCAAGTGAGTTTCCTCAGAAATCTCATAATCGTAAGAGATTTGGAACGACCTTTGTTGATGATGTGACAGGTCGCCTGGTTGTCTGAGTAACAACGCACTGGCGTATTAGCCCATAAATGACCCCACGCTACGGCAGCCGCCACTATGGGGTAGATCTCAAAAAGAGCTGAGGTAGTGGAAAAACCTTCCAAATCCAGAACTGCTGAAGGCCAGCTGCCCCAAAGCCATTCGTTCCCAAAAATTGCTGCAAAACCAGTGGTAGATGCCGCATCTGACCAAATGGTAGGAGATGATTCAGTCAATTGAGGGAGGAACATACTTTTACCATTCCAAGTGGTTAAAAACCTCTTCCACATGTTTAGATCTGCCGTAGCTTGGGCATCTAAGGACAACCTGTGTGTGTCATGTAGAAAAAGTGGGAAAAGATGCAATAGTCGTGAAATAAAGGAGCGGCCTTGAGGTATGATGCGCATTGCAAAATTTAGTGACCCCAGCAGGGACTGTAGTTCTTTGCGGTTGCAAGTGCCGAGCTGTAGGTAGTTGTTTATGTAAGTGAGAATATGTCTATCTTTTCGTAAGGTAGGCTTGCTTGCATTGTGGCAGAGTCTAACTGGATACCCAGAAAAGTGATAACCGTGTCTGGCCCTTCTGTTTTCTTTGGGGAGATGGGTACACCTAGTTGCTCAAACAGCTTAGTGGTAGCTTTGAGGCTAGTGGGAGGTGCAGTATTCTCCTCGACCAGTAGGAAATCGTCCAAGTAATGTAATACTGTAGGGCATCCGGCTATGTTCAATAGTAACCAGCATAGTGCTTCGGCAAATGTGTCGAAAATAGCTGGGCTACTTTTGGACCCAAAAGTTAACCGGGAGAAAAAATAGTAGTTCTCGGACCACTTGATGCCATGCAGGTGCCACAGTGTGGGGTGGATAGGGAGTAATTTGAAGGCGTTAGTAATGTCGGTCTTACTGAGCCAGGCTCCCACCCCTGCTTGTATGATGGCTGTAATGGCGTGATCTATGGTGGTGTATTGCAGAGAGAATTCCTCAGAGGGTATGAGGGAATTAAGACTGGGGTTGGCCGATGAGTGGGGAGCCGATAAGTCAATGATGAGTCTCTGTTTTTGGGAAGATTTCCCTGTGACAATACCAATAGGGTTGGTGCGCCATTCTGTGAATGGGGGAGTTCTAAAAGGCCCCAATACAAAGCCCTCCTCCACTTCTTGGTTTATGAGGGTGTCAACCACTGTGGGGTTGTGTTGGGCGGATTGTAGGTTTGGGCATTCCAGAGTGCCAGCTGGTATGTGTAGGATACCTGTGTGGAAGCCTTCTGTTAAACCAGAAATAAGAAAATCTACCAGGTGTCTAGATGGGTGCTGAGACATCAATGCTGTGAATACTGGCATATTAATGGACGTAAGGTAAGGCTTAGAATACATTTTATTTGGACACATGGTCTTAGCATGTGCCCTAAAACATTTTGAACAGACATGCAATAGTCTACATCCACTGTAATTACAAGACCCAACATTGAAATTATTACATATCTGGGACTTGCCCAGAAACTTGATTGGGCGTCCCAATTTGTCTTTGGATAGTTTCCCTGGATCCCCAGAGGAATTAGTTCCTTGTGTGGAGGCATGTCCGTCTGCCGTGTTGGGACAAAAATTAGTAGTATGGGCTGTGGAGGAGCAGTATGCACAAGCTGGTGTTCTTAGACCTGCAAAGTGTCTGCAGAATAAGACGGTATCAATCCTTCCCCAGTTGGATCGTGTACCGTACTGGGAGAAGGCTCCAGCCACTTTTGCAGAAAAAGACCTATGGTAGTCATAGAATGCTGAACCACCATATTTGTTGCCCAGGTCTACCAGCTTGTGCATATAGAGATCAAACTCCTCTCTTCTGTTGGGATAAACCGCACAGACGACATCCCTGTAAATACCAAACGCTAGTACAAATTCAGGGATAGTCAGTTTCCTGTTCAGGCGGGCATCCCTAGATCTGACAATAACAGAAACATCATCATAAGCATACGTCTTATGTTCCACAATGTCCTGGGAGGCAATCAACAGGGAAGCCAGGTTGACGTCTTTACCTTCCAGGATATCCCTT